GGATTGGACGGACCAACAATATATATTAGATTAGATTAATCCGGTTCAAAATATTTATTAGATTGGATTGGACATGTTCCATTTGTAATAAATTTATATCGGATTGAGTTGGATTGGATTAAGCCAATATCTAATCCATTGATATAAGATAAGAATATAGGTGTTAATAGATCAGGTTTGAGTTGAAATCAATTTAAATCAAAATGAATTTGAATAGATTGAATTAGACCGATCTAAAATGGTTTAAAATATTCATTACATTGAATTTGACCTGATCCATTTATAATGGAATCACATTAGACTGAATAGGATTAGACCAAATCCAATCCAATTGACACCCTTACCAACAACCAATAACAATCTCCCTCAAAACCAAACCTTTACTACACGCTCAATATCTCAATTCCCCTAAACAAAACCTTTACTACAGGCTCAATATCTCAATTATTCATCGGTGGTTAATATGATGTTAACACAAAGATATGTGAAAAGAGGTTTCATCATCCAAGGATCCACTGAAGACATTATATCGGCACAGGGAAGACAATGTTGGGCCATCAATGGCTATGACGCTGAAGTGCACTCCTTAGTCAGTGGACTGGAAGCAGCTCTGAATTGTTGACTTACAATGCTTCATTATGGTTTCAGACTCCTTACAACTAGTTAACGTTCTCTTTTTTGTAGCAATATAAAGTCTACGTGTATTAGATATTGCAGCTACACTCTGGACCCGCATTAATAGACTACTGTCATCCTTTTCTTTTGTTTCTTACTCTCAAGTAAATAAAACAGCTAACTCATCTTCTCATATATTAGCTTATGTAGCTGTAAAGGGTAACTAAAAAAAATCTCAGGCCGACCCAAGTCACGATTTTATGTTGACTGGGCTTCGATTAATGGTCCTTGGGCTGGGCCTGAGCCCAAACTTTAGCTTTTTATTTTTCAAGTTTTGACCCAGTCTTAACCCATAGGTAGCCCAAGCCTATCCTGATCTTATCCCATTCATAGTCCATTGTGAGGCTGGCCTAACTATAAACATGTATACATACATACATACATACATACATACATACATACATACATACATACATACATACATACATACATAAATACATATAGATATGCATGTCAAATTTCAGTGTATACTGACTGACCAATCTGTCCAACCCCATCTAACCTACACCACTAGCTTAAAACATAACTCCCTTGGCTGATGGCTCACACGGTTCTACAATGTTTATAAGAAGAAAATATATAGTTGCATGTTCTCTTTATTTTTCAACCAAAAAAAAAAAATTATTTACTTGAATTCCTAAGGCTGCATTTGGTTGCAATGCAAAAAAAATTGCACTGATGCAAAATTATGACAGTGCAAATGATTCGAGTGTAAATTTTAGCCTATTTTTATTTCAAATTTTAGCTTATTTTATTTGATTGCAGTACAAATAAAGTAAATTAAGGCATAAAGAAGAATAAAATAAAACCTAAAACAAAATTAAACGAGAACTTGCATTTTTTTTTCATTTGCATTCCTATGCATTTGTACTAGTGCAAACACATTTGCACTGCAACCAAGCACAGCCTAACGTCTTATTATTTAGGAGCACAATTCAGGTCAGTTAAGGCCAGCCCTAAATTAACCAACCCAATTTGTTGAACTCCAATCCTAACCCTAATCCAATTTGATGGCTTCAGGTTCGGTTGGGTACAGATATATTAGGGGGTATAAGTGTGTAACTTGGGTCTGATTGGGTCGAGAATTTGTTGAATTTTCAATGCACCCGAACTCCAATCTCAGCCAAATGTAATTGAAGTTCTTCTGCAATTTGACTTGCATCCCTAGTACATTTTTGCTCTAGTGGAAGGGCACATGGGATGGACATGTATACATAAAAATAAAAGGATTTAAAAAATATTTCGGTTTAACTTCTATAGTTTGGAGGTAAAGCCAAGGCAAGTATATAGTAGAGTCCCCCAAGTTTGTTTACGTGGAGGGACCGATCACCCTAAATTTCATTAACCATTATCAAAATAAAATGGAGGAAGAAAATTATAGGAATTGAAAGGACATATATAGCCTTAGCCTGCCATGCCCCAAAACCCAATAAGAAAACACAAAACTTCACCCTCTAGCCTCTAGTCCAACCCAAAGCACAAAAAGCAAAAGAAAAATACAAAAACTGATTCAGAGATTGAAACATTCCTCTGTGGGTCAATGGATCAGCAGTTCAATCATTTGGATCAATGGATCAACCTGTGATGTGATTACTATAAAAAGTTCAAAGGAAATAAAATAATAACTTGATAACCTGCTGAACGGATCAGATGTGTCAACATTTCAACCACATAGGTTCATGGTCAATGAATTTTTTTGTAAAATAGTGATTTGGAGGTTGACCCAAACTGGTATTTTGGCCAGGTTAATGATAGATTAAGAATATTGGAAATGGTAGTATGTGAAAAACAATATAAATTTGAGAATGAATTGTGACAACGCAACTCACTTTCCCCTTGAATTGGTATGTGGGCCACTTGATGATCTCAGCTCCCATAAAATGAGAGAGGTTGAGACTTTCCTATATCAAAACCATCGGGAAAGAATTTGGATTTGAATGTCATTTCTGCCTGCATCAATTCCAATTCCGATAAAATGCAGAAGTGGAAGGCTAGAAATCAGTGCTTTGTCAATATCTCTGCTCTATGGTTAGGGGTGCAACCTGAATTCTGAATTGTATGGGATGGGGAATTTGTTAAATTGAAATTCGTGACTTACAGTCCTATTAATGGTGACAGCTAAATAACAAAACCTAGATATTATCAACTGATAGGTTCTCTGGCTGATTGTAGTGGAGATATGGGATTGAATTCCTTTGCCGCTAAGGTTTGGGATGAGTTAACCCCTGTTGTGTAGCCCCATGAAACCCCTGTTGGAATTGACAATTTGAAATCTGGTCGCTAATACACTTGATATCCAGTTGGTCACAAGCATCCTTTGAGGAGGTGAGGTTCAAATCCGGAAAGACAAACTCTCCTTGTTGTATGCTAATAGGCCCATCCTTAATCCACAGATTAGATCTAGCATATAACACCTGACCCTGCTTGTTGCCTTGTTGGGGTTAAAGCCCTATCAACCCCCTCTGATTCAAAGGCAACATCAATGCTACAATTGATAATCTGTCAAATAATTGTGTAGCATCCTAGGAAAATTCTCAATCTCATGGCAAAAGTTCAATTCTTTGCGTGGTATCGATATATCATATATATAGTGCAGTACTTTGATTATTACAGGTTAAATAATCAAATTTTTAGTTCGAAAACTTGAATCTAACCAAAACAAGTTTTAAAAATGCCCCTCTATAAATTCTTGCATGTTGAGGGCCTTGAGGCATATGCAAATTGAAAAAAAAAAAAAAAAATCTCTGATCCAACCCGACTTTTTTCGGGTTGGGCTGGAATCCAGTTGGTCTAATTTTTTTTTTTTATAGAATGTACACAATGTTGTATGCATTCATATGCATATGATATTCACATATATGTATGTATGTCAGGTTCGTGCTATCCAACGCTCAACCTTAAGTCATATTTGGGCAGGGACCACACCATTAAACACTTATTAGTGTTTGGAGAATAAGTCTGAAATAAATGATTATCTTAAAAATATTTTAAGTCTAAATTTTCAGCTTTTTTTGAAGTGTCATATACTAAGCACTTATTCAATTTTTTTTCTCCCATAATTGTCCCCAGTGAATTTTTAGATTACCAATAATAACCCTTTTACAAAAACAACTTTACAAAGGCACTTTTATTATGAAAGTCAAGTATTTTTACAAAAACAACTTTACAAAGGCACTTTTATTATGAAAGTAAAGTATTTTTACAAAAACACTTTTATGAAAGTACTTTTACACGAAAGTACTCTTTTATAAAAGTATTCTTATAAAAATACTTTTAGAAAAACACTCTTATAAAAGTACTTTTATGAAAGCACTTTTATAAAAGTACTTTATGAATGCACTTTTATAAAAGTACTTTTACGAACGTATTTTTATAAAAGCACTTTTATGAAAGCACTTATATAAAAGTACTTTTATAAAAGTATTTTTACAAAAACACTTTTATGAAAGCACTCCTACAAAAGCACTTTTATAAAAATATTTTACAGAAGTGCTTTTATCAAAGTACTTTCATGAAAACACTTTTGTAAAAGTACTAAAAGTGCTTAGATAAAAGCACTTCTATTAAAGTACTTTTATTCATTCACTTTAGATTGGATATATTGAAAATTTGAAAGAAAATGAAGGACAAAAGATTCACAATTGTTTATTGAAGTACTTATTGGAGAAAAAGACCACCAAACACCCAATATAAAATAAGTTTGAAAAAGTTGGGTGCCAAATACAAATAAGTGCTTATTCGAATAAGTACTTATTTTTAAACACATTTTTTTAATATAAGCACTCCCAAATATGGCCTTAGTCCAATCCAAAATTAAATCCAACTTATATATTTTTCTCCCCAACCCTGACCCGATCTTCAACCTGGCACAACCAACCCAATCCAATTTTTACACCCTGAATTCAACTGGGCGTATTAATTAAACCATCTATAAGATCTCATAAACAGTGCCAGTTGTACAAGATTTAATGGAATTCTTCTTCCCATTCACACTGAAAGCAGGCTAGTTTAGTAGCCTTTTTTAAGTTTTAATTGCCTTCTGCCATAAAAAAAAAATTCTTTTTTTAGTGTTCACCAATCCAAATACAGCTTCTAATGAGAATCGGATTCCAACTGATAAACACATAGACGTACTTCTATGTTCTTGACTTTCTTGTCAATGGAGCAAGCGGAATCTTCTTTTCCACTACCTTCATTTCCACATCCATCCATCGCAATATATCCCAAGCTTCATGAATAAGCCCAACCTGCCTGCTATATGTTCCTGAGAATATAATCTTTCTCTTCTGGAAGGGTTCTGGCATTAATTGAACCATATTAAATGTATGCCAACACAGACAGCTTTAAAGCTCTCCCTTTCTCTCATGGATTTCACTGCAGTTTTCGTCTACATGGGTGGCACCGGAAGTGCTTCCTCTAACGAGAGACTGGTGGCCATAGGCTTGACCCTTCTTGCTATCGTCTCGCCGTTGTATATCGACCGGAAGCCATCGACCGAGCCGGATCCCGACGAGCAGCCCATCAGCCTTGCTTCTTGGCTACCTCTGTTGCTTGTGGTCCTCATCGTTGCCATCAACTTGTCTCGCTTCTTAGACCGGAGCTTTACGAGGTTCGACCCCTACTGGATACACAGAGTTGGTGGGTCTTCATGTGGGATCTTGGTGCTTCTCATGGTGCTCGGACTGGTTTTGAAGTGTAAAGCTTCCATATGGAACTGGGAGCCATGACTGAGGTCCAGACACAAGAGACCCACTTCTCAGTTCGCTTCCTTTTCCTCACTTCCACAGTTGTTTTGTAAATTATTTCTCTTGTGGAAGTGAATAAATTGAAAACAAAGCTTAAAACATGTCCTGTTGCTTCCTCTGCAAAGATTTACTAGGCTCATGCAGTTTGTTTGAGGTGCAAATCTTTGGGGCAAATAGGCTTGAGTGTAACTTTTGATTCGGTTCTCATTTTGGTTATCTTTGACACTATTACCGTTTCTACTAGAAATGTTTTGGATTGATCAATACAAATTATATTCATGAGAAATATGTTTCGTCACATAGTATATAAGAGTTATTTCAACTAGAAAAAAATAACGCTTCTTTAGAACCGGTCATCAGGATCAATGACCATATGATAAGGGTAGCAAAAGTTCTAATACTACCCGCTGCCAATCCTACACAACTCTTCTTCATCTAGGCTTGGACTGATGGAAGGGAAAATTCATCATATGGGTGGGTGGTACTAAAAGAAGGGGAAATCCAACATATGGATGACCAACATCCATATGTTGGATGATAGGGCGAAATTTCAAAAAATTATTTTACCCTTCCGGGAATTGTATTCCCAGTTTTAGAAAAACTGTATTCTTCAATTATCGTTCTTGCAACAAAATCGGACTAGATCTAAAACCAAAAGAAAGGGAGAAGAATACCTAATACGGATTCCACACGTGTAGTTCCTAAAGTGGATGATCACGCCCAAAGACGGTACCAAAACCAGCTTCCACTGAAGATGGTGTCACTTAGGTTGAAGCCATTTCAGCAACGCGGTCCTTCAGCAATGATTGTAATCCAACAACTTGGATTGAGCAAGAAAAGTGGGCACGAAATTATTCTGATTTTTCTTGCAAAATCAGAAGTGATAATTGATCTCTATCAGTCCAAGAATTAGAGAACAATATGGGTTTGTATGGCAGTAAGAGAAGAAGGAGAAAGAGAAAGCTAAGAGTAGTGTTATTTGGAGCAGTTTGCCCTCCTCTATTTATAAGCCTTAAAGATCAGTTCTCTTAATCTAATTAGGAGCTTCCTAATTCAAATATTTATTTGAATTTGGACTCTTTAAGTGGAGAAGACTTGTCCCCTTATCTTAAAGGCTGATCCAAACACTTATCCAAACCCATATTTGCCTGTTGTCTTGTGACTTCTTAATTAATCCAATTAATTATGGGCTTTAGGCCCATTAAGCAACATTAAGCAAGTGGCTCACGTCCCTTTTTAGTTGCTGGCCAATTTGGCTCTCTTTGTATGGTGTGAGACCCCATCAATGACCTCACATAAGCCCATATGGGTTCAACCCAACTTCTAAGAAAAAACCTGGCCGAATTCATTGTCAAGCACATTGAACCCCTGAGTAAATCAGTATGGGCTCTTAATGGGCCCAATATCTACACTAAATGTGGTCTTTGAGTCTAGCCATCCTATGAAGGCCCAATGACGATGGTCTTAAGTGAGAGTGAGATTAACCCATTAGGTAAAACAACCTTAAATGGTCTCTTACACTTAACCTCTCAACCCTTAATGATCAACCATTGCTCGACAGCAAGGTGTACTCTCTGCTTGGATGGGTCCTGGGAATTTAAACCTTTTGCAAACATTCTCCTTTAAAACATATATATATTATCATATAAATATGTTTTGCAAAAACAAATCTCAAACAAGTTTGAAATCAACTGTCGATAGTTTTGGTTTCCATTAGAAAGAGTGTAGTTTCGATCATTCACTTTGTCTGACAAAGGACTACTCCAACATACCCAAGTTTTGACCYCCAAAGTATCATTCACTTTCCCGCAAATGGCCATTTTGTTATCTTACCCTACAAGCAAGGTCACAAATGTTGGAAGATCTTTTACAGATAGAAAATCCAAAGGACCATCCTTTACCAATCTTGTAATACAATCTATATTAATATTTCCAAATCAGTAATGCCACAGGCACGTGGAATTAACCGTATCACATGTTTCTTTTCTTGGGGATAATTTTCGACGTAATTTTGGTTATGTTTGTTTCCAAAGAAAGATAGAGGGCATAGAAATTATTCTCAAGTTCTCCGTAAGTAAGGGATTTGTTATTCAATTTAATAATAATCGTATCACTAAATAGAGTAGAATAACCATCCTTGCAAAGTTTTGAAACTGAAATCAAATATCTTCTTAGTGAGGGTACATAAAGACAATCTTTGAGTCTCACAATGCCTTCTCTGAAAACTAAATCTACAGTTCCTATGGTTGTAGTTGCAACAATTGCAGAAGTCCCCAAGTAAAGGATCACCTCATTGTCACTTAGCCTTCTGCTTTCTTTGAACCCTGCAATGTGTTCAGGGTCAATACACCAGGATGTAGAAGTGACCAACATATTGGTCTCTTTGACAAGAGATTCAAAATTACCTTCTTTATTCATGGATTCCAGATATTGAGGATAGTTTCTTTTCCAGTGTTCGGTCTGTTTCCAGAAGTGACATGCATCCGATGCTTTATCTTTATTCTGCCTTTTTGGCTTATCTGCTTTTTAAGTCCTCTTCTTGCCATTCCTCTTTTTTTTTTTTTTTGATTTGCCACCTTCAACAAGCATGACTATTGATTTGTCCTTCTCAATCAGTTCTTCGATCCTTTGCAACATATTGTTGAATTCCTGAAGGCCAATCTTTAGCTTTTTCATGTTATAAATCATGACAAGCTGATTGAAGGAGGGAGGCAGAGAGTTTAAGATGGCATCAGTTTTCATATCATCATCGAGCTGAAATCCAAGAGCCTCCGATTTGTTAATATACCCCATCATTTTCATGGTGTGGTCATGAACCTGTTGGCTCTCAGTCATCTGTGTGGTCATCAACAACTTGAGGACCGCTTGACGGATAGAACAATTCTGCTCTTCATACATAGTCTTTAGACTATCCTGGATGTCTTTACAGACTTTAATCTTATCGAATTGCCCCTGGATAGTATTATCTAAAGATGCTATGATGTAACATCCGGCTAGAGAATTTTTCTCCTCCCATTCCTGATATTCCATCCTACGTGCTTCAGAAGCCCTATCACCTGGACGTTCCGGAGCAAGGTTCTTGGCAACCTTGTCCAATTTCTCGGATGTCAAAACCAGATTAAGGTTACGGTACCAGTCAACATAGTTGGGTCCCTTAAGTTTGTTATCATCCAACAATTTGGCAAATTGTCCATTTGCCATTTTTTATAAAAGGCGACATATATTAGTCCACGACCTAAAGTTGATTCATGTTATCTTACATAGAATGGTCTTTTATCTATGCTCCATCTCCATTTGTCCATCTTTGAGATTTCCCTCCTATCTCAGTGATGGAGACATAGTGCATGTCTCTGGAAATGTGGGAAATCACATAGGTGCATGGAGCCAAGTGTTTCAGATACAAAACCCCACCACTTTCTGTGAATGATCATATCCACCTATCCTATGAATTTTCCCTTTAGCCTCTATTAGACAAGGTTCATTGTCATTTTAGGTTAAACCTTGTTTGGTAAGTGCTGACCCATCATATCGTAGGCCCCAAAGTACCATGAAAGAGTCTTCCATTTTAGGATAAGCCTCTCCCACATCGGTCTATGATGCCCCTATCATCTTATAAAGCAATCCAACCAATTGGGCCAGCAAATGGATAGCCCAATTTTATGGTGCATCTCCATCCACCAATTCAACCCGCCTTCATGCTAATGACGGAAGGCCTGTAGAGAATTCATCATATGATATTCCCTATCACTTGCACTTATATTAATATGGAGGGAACAAAAACAGTCCCTAGGTTTGGTTTAGGTCATACCAAAGTGGTTGACTTTCAAAAAGTCAGATTCAAATGAGCCCAAAGCGAGCTAGGGTTTTGCCGGATTCCTCTTGGGGGCCCATTGAAAAGGGAGATTATCCAATGATTTGTGGACATCATGGAAATGACGTGCATTTAGCCATGGTGTTCACAGAGAGCCATATACGATTATACATGGGCCAAGCACTTATGGCCCATGTACGAATCACATTCAGCACATCACAAGCATTCACATAATCACAAATTGATCCAATCAATTAAAAGCTTGAAAGCCCCAATAAATTTAAGTTAACACACAATCAGCCCATGAATTATCATATAATATCATCTAGGCATATGGGCTAAGATGCAAAGAGCAGTTTGGCCCATATAGTAGTTGGGCTGATGCTGCTTTAACTTAAAATTAGGTTTACAAGGGAGGGCTAAATTGTACCATGTGAAGAGCCATCAAAACCTTGGCCCATAACCAAATTTGAGCCACCTAAAACATGACCCATGTGGCTGAGATCAGACCCCATTGAACCATGGGTTCGGTCCAACTAGTTTGGACTAAACTAGGTCAATTCGGCCTAGGGTTTGGTAACCAAAACATGCTACAATTCTCAAGATTTCGATATGAAATTATTAACAGCTGAATATTGACAATCAATTATAGCAAAATAAACAATCTAGGGATGCAAGTGTGATGGTCCGAATCTGATTCGGACGAACTACAAACCTGCAAGAAACTATTAATTGTAGATTGCATAATTTTTTTTACAAAATTTCTTCTTCTCCTTCACGCACTCTAGCAAGTCTTCCAATGTAAAAAAATAGAAAAACTCTAATTTTCTATTAATTACATCAGAATAAATCCTAATACATTTTGTCTAAAAATAAAAAAATTATTTATAGACCAATGATCAAATAAATAAATAGCAAGGTGCACAAATCTTGGTGCCAATAAAGAATTTGATCTCCATCACACCAACAGTCCAAAAATTCAAGAAATAATAATAGAACAATTCTAAAATTATTGCAGAACAAAATAAAAATAATTTCAGATCAAATCGCCCAAAAATTGAGAATTGATTTCTTAGTATACTGCAAACTACGCATATCGAGTAAAACTGTTCTACCAATTTCGGTTTAATTTCATATATGATTTAATTTTGGTTCAAGATTGAACCTTTAG